TTATAGTAATTACACTCTCGATCTAAAAGAAAATATATAGCCGATTGAAAGGAAACATTAAATAGTTTTAAAGAATGTTGTGGTAGGAAATGACATAGAATAAATGACACGGCGTAATAGTAACACCACATGAAATATATATCTATTTGCTCTATGTTTCGGTCAAAACGTCTTTCTCAGGTACATTAAAGCTTCAAAAACCAAACTGAACTAAAAGTTCGATTCCGTTGTCTAATATAACACAAATATTGTAATAAAGGTTTGGAAAAAAAGTGGTAAGTTATAACAATTTAGATAACAAATTAAAACAGTGACATAATAAACAAAATAATTTGTTTGTTTGTAATTAAGCACAAAGCTACACAATGGACTACCTGTGCTCTGGCCACCACAGGTATCGAAACCCGGATTCTAGCGTTGGAAGTCCGCAGACATTCCGCTGTACCACTGGGGGGCAACAAAATAATACAAATAAAATATTATTTTAGATTTTATAAAAGTTTGGAAAATTTTGAATGCTATTATTTAAATACATGATAATAAATAATATTACTAAATGTTAGAAATCTTTGTTTTTTGTTGTTGTTTTTTTGGGGAGGAGGGGATATTAACTTGCTCCCACACACCTTGGAATCTTATTTCTAGCAAATACGGAATTTTGATTAAAGTAACTGTTTATGGTGTTATTTTGCAAACAGTAACACTTTGACATGGAAAGAGTTATTTATACTGCTCCAAAACGAACTGTTGATTTATTGAAAGGGCCCCTCAGTAAATCACTTCTATTTTAACCTTGAAAAGGGCAAAATGTTCTCATATTGCCGTTAAACGATGATCTCTCCTACAAGCATGTTGCTATCAGGGTGTTCTTCTTCAAGGTTACAACCCCTATGTAATCGAGGGAATGGATGGGGGACACCGAATCGAAAAACTGAGCACAGAGTTTGTATTGAAAAATAAACAAACATTTGATTTCGTAATAAATGTTTACAAACTGGCAATTAAGGTCAGTAGTTGTGATGAAACAGACAGGGAATGTTTTCAAACCTTTCATTGTTAAAATATTATCGAAACAGTATACAGTAAAAGGCATAAAAATTATTCTCTTAATATGAAGTCTGATCACAATTACTAACCTACTAGCACAATAAAAGTATAATATTTAAATGTCCAAACACTATGTTACGTCTCCGTTTGTTAATTAACTTCCCGTAACTTCGTTCCGACGAAACTTTA